CTGTATCCAAGAGGCCGGGTTTATTTCTAAGAAACTTCCATCTTAGTTCATAAAACCCATGTTCTATCCTTGTAATAGCCCTGTACTTGAGGCAGATTATTTTAAGGACCTGTTGAGGGTGCTACATAACTTGGCTGTGATTTTTCTCTTGCTGAGTAACTTCATGCACAGGCCTGGGCATGTTCTCGAGGTCCCAGCCAGCCCCTCCCAAAGCCAGATCACACCACCACCCAGAGAAGCTGGGAGCCTGAGCACAAAAACACAGCCCGTGTACAGCTGGGGTTTAAAGCTGACCACTCAGCTGTGCCTCTACTCCTATTTAACAGCAGTTAAGTGGTGAAGCCCTGTCTTCTTGAAATGCTTCCCCTCTCTCAGCAAACACTATGTAACATGCAATTTTTACAGTGAATTGAAGCATATTTTTACTTCTGAAATACAACCCTTCTGTTTTAGTCCTCCTTAATCATAGTGATTTTGTGGAGAATAACAAATTTTCCATTCACAGACTTAAAACTTGATTTTTTTCCTTATTTCCTTCAGCATTAATTATCCCTCCTAAAAATAGACAGGTGGAGTCCAAAAATATCCAGTGAAGCGTTACTGGAAGGTTTCTTGCAGGGATGCCAAGAGCCAGACCTGATTTATTGACCCAGCCTCGTTGTTTGTGCAGACCCACCCTGCCCCAGGTTCCTGTTTCCAGGCTTGCCTCTTGTTTGCTCAGTTAATCAGCACAGCTGCCTGCGAGGGCTCGTTCGGGGGAAACTCTCCCTTCCCCAGTCCTCAGGGAAGGTTGCAAAAGCTGGGGAGTGTGTGGCTGGTTGCACACCCTCAGCTCCTGAAGCTGACGACTCTGCTGCAGGGAGGGAGATGGATGTATGTAGGTCATGTCTTGGAGGGCTCTGCCAACCTGCCGTGCCCGGCAGCACGGGCGTCTCCCTGGGCTGGCCCTGGCACAGGGGAGACTGGCACTCCTGAGCAAAACTTTCTTCTTTCTTCTTCCTCCATGTCGTCCTGTTTCTCCCGGCAGGCTGCAAACACAGTTCCTATGACAGCCCCAGAGTGGGAAAGATTGGGATTTGTTTTATGACTTCCAAAGTTAACAAAAAGCTTGGATGTTAAACCAAACCTGCAAGGCCTTGCAACTTCATGGAGCTGTCTGTCTGTAATTTCAAAGGGTTTGAGATAGTTCTCAACCTCAGCTCTGATCAGTGGTGACTCTGCATTTTGGTGTAGAAGTCTTGATACAGCCCGGGTTTGGGGCCAGCCACTTGTGGGTGTGCCCTGCTCGTTACTCCCCTCTGGGCAGATCCGAGCTGTGATTTTGATCTTTAGATGTATGTGAGCTTCCAAGTGTGGCATTTTGAGAGTCCCAAACTGACATCTTTTCTGCAGAGGGTGGGGCATGAGGCTTGAGAAAAGAGCTGTAGGGTCTTTGAAGTGCAAAGCTTTGAAGTTTAAAAAAAGCTAACAAATTCCTCTTGCAGTTCGCTGTCTGTGGAAAATCTGGAAGGTAAGACTTTTAACCAAAGAGACTGGATAACATTTAAAAGTGACAGACTGGGGAAGTGTGACTTTCACGTTTTAACTGTTTGTGCTGTGGTGGAGAAGGTGAGCTTGATTCAAAGAGTGTGCACCAAACAACACTGTCAGTCTCCACCTTCCTTCTGCATTCAGATCACGGGCATAAAACGTGTCGTTGAAGGAGGAGGGAGGAATTTCTCTCTTCCCGTTGCTATTGTGTTTTGTTATGTTTTGTGTCTGTTCAGTTTGTCTCCAGGATCAGAGAAATGACTCAGAAAGTTATTTCCACAATAGGAGGGCATGGGAAAACACAAACATTGGTCTCTTAAAGACACACAGCCCTGTTTGTTACACACTGACATGCCTTACCTTCTAGTCTGTTGGAATTGCTACCACATGAGCTACCTTACTCCGTCCTCTAGAACCCTGACTGGATTTTGCACATTAGGCTTTGTTTTCATCTCTAGAAAATGACATAAAATTACCTTACCCTATACTTCTTTCTTATTTTTCTATACTTATCTTCCCCCTGTTTACCTTCCCTTCCCCATTTATTGCACCTCTCCTCTACTCCTCACATTTTTTCACCTTATTCCTCTTTCTGTGCTGCCATAAACCCGAAACTCTCTCTGTGACAGCAGCACCATCTCTCCTGTCCTTCAGATGGGCTTTTTTTCCTCACTGGCGTTCTCCCATCTACCAGCCTGGCACTCTGCACCTTCCCTCTGGGACATGTCCCAGCCATACCTGGCAGCCTTGGGAAGAGCACTGGGGCTGGCTCTGAACAAGCCAGTCTGGAAGCCATTGTGATGCAGTCACGGTGCCGCAGGCCCAGCCCTGCTGGGCAGTGCCCAGGCAGGATAAGGACCCAGTGATGCAGAGAAGAAACATCAGCTCAGCAGAAACCAGTGGCACCAGCATCCCAGAACCTCCCTCAGCCCAGCCCCTGGTGCCAACCCCTCTTTTTCCACTGAACATTTGCTGCAGCCAGTAGGAGCCAAAGATTAAATCTATTTCCTGCCTGTGCCAACCAGGCAGGACAGGTTGAGCCTTTCTTTACAATTATGATGAGGCAGCAATTACACTCTAAAACTGTATTCTCTTGGTGAGGTAGAGCTATTACTAAGCTCAGTGTTTTGGTTTTGTTAGCAGACCTTTGGGCCTGTTCTTGCCTAAAACCCCCCTCAGGTTTTCTCGGGTCTCTTTTCTTCACTCTTATTTTTTTCGATGACTTGTTTAACGTAATCTTCTTCTCCGAGTTGCCTAAAGCACAAATCTGGCTCCCAAAGCCAGTGTTCAGTCCTGCTTCCCTCTTCCCTTCTTGCTGTTCAGATATCTGGGCATCCAGACTCCCTCCCTTTCCTGGTGCATGGATTGAGAAATATTAAAATAATCTCTCCCTTTATCCTCCTAGGTGTGCCAGCAGCACGTTGTAGCTGCCTAAACATATGTCTTTCCTGCTTGAGTGACTGTTTGACTTAGCTCTCCTCTGCTGCTCTTGGAAAAGATGCTGAAGCCTCTGGTCATCTTTGGAGGTGCTGCCTAACTTGCTCTGAAATTCTTTAGGACAGCCCACATGTATTCTGGTGCCGTGTAAGCCTTCCTAGTCAGGTGCTAGAAACACTTGTCTCACTGTCCTCACCTCATTTTTATTTCAGTCTCCATTTCTCTCCCTTTTCTCCCTCTTTCTATTGACTGTATTTATATTTGTGTCACTTTACTGTCTTGCAGCTAACTAGCAAAGCGTGCCATGGGTATGGTTCCTTGAAAAGCCAGGGCAATGAACTTTAAGGTGGATTACTTTGAAGCCAGAAATGATAAACAGGTAAGGGAAAATAGGAAAATTGTAGCACTATTGTCACTCCTGAATTGGTGGACTGCTGCCAAGTCAACGAACATTTCATGGCACGTGCTGAGTCACAGGCAAGACAGAAACCCATGCATGCGTTCAGGAACTGGAGGGAAGGTTTTGTGCAGGTGAGAATGTGTAAACACACGTTTCAGAGTGTGGGTGTCTGGGTGGGGAAGCACATAACAGTACAGTATCAAGGCAGCACGTCAACTGAAACCCCAATCCTTTGGGAAGGAATTGGTTCTCTTTTCATTCTCCCAGCAAGTTTAGAAAACAGTCTTTGACTGCTCTTCTGTTATCAAACCCAAGGCAGATCTTTCATGTAGGACGACTTCTGAAGTGCTACTCTTTGGGGCCTATTTTCACAAGCAGTGCCTGGAAGTGTCACATACCCTGTATATCTAAGAAACTTCAGACTCATTCCTTCACATCTGCAAATGCCTCATGTTTTTGAGGAAGTCACTCACACCTGTGTTTCAATTCCCTCATCTTTAAAATCAGGAAAGAACATTTTGAGATCCTTGTGAGATTATATTGCTGCTGTTTTGTCAGGACATTGCCACTTGTGGAGATGATATCACAAATGTGCAAAAACTGGGCTTTGAAAAAAAAGGATGGCTGACTCTCTGACCTTCAAATCGTGCATATTAATCCCATAACCATCTTGTAAAGAAAAATATGGTATATACCAGCTTTGAGAAAGGAATTAAAAAATACTAGTTAAAGCAGAGAAGAGTACACAACACACACAACAAACATCACAGAAGCTTTCTCTCAATGGTTAAAAAAAATCCCATTTTAAACAATAACACTGGATGAAATTTAAACAGAGATATCAAACAAGATATCAAGCATCAAATGAACAGCAGAAACATTAAAAACTGATGGCTTTTAGTTGATACATAGAGAAAGAAATTAAGAGAAAACCAATATTTCATAGTTACAGTTTATTTTGGAAAATGTAAACGTCACTAACCATGCATACAAGTTAAGACAATATTTTACAGTTCTTAAGTTTCTTCCTTTTTCCTTTGTTTCCTTTTCCTGTTGTTGCATAGGACATTATCACAATATATAATCTATGCAGTACAAAATACATAAAAAGTTACAGCAGAGCAAGAATAGATGAACATATAACTGTACAACTGTAATACTTCAATGTAGTGACTTAGAGTTGAAAAATGAGCCATGGAAGCATTCATGTGCTGCTGGTGAAGCTGTACAAGTGAGGATGACAGCAGCAGCCTTGCAGTTCACCAAAGCTGGAAGAATCGATGTGAATACGTGCACACTCATGGCACACATCCAGGCATGTGCTTGTGGAAAAGCACATGTGCTCCCGCACACGTCCCCCAGAATGCACAACAGACACAAGCACTGCAGCTGTAACCAGAGATGAAACTCAGCCACAAACCTCCAACAGGTTCAACCTTTCCAGATGCAATGGTATTTGGATCCAGAGATTTGGTTCAGACCCATCACTACCTATAATGAACTGGATCCCTGGTTTTGCTCTGTAGATATCCCTTCATTATTCAGTGTGTAATACAGACACACTGCTGTGTATTTATGTATACACACATACTATACAATATACACACATATATGCATTTATATATATGTGCATATGCTTATATAAATCTATATATATAAATATATATATATATAAAAACACCTATACCAGTGAATGGGCTTTTGCATTCTATATTCTGGTTTATGGGATAAACAGGTATAATTTGGTTGCTTTCTTCTGCCTAAGGCTTTAGCTTTATCCCCAAAGGAGTTACAAATACACATGTTCATCAACCATTCACTGACACAGACTATGTTAGCACCCAATGCACAAACACATGGTGTGATGGAGTAAAAGAGCACCTGCAAGTTAGTTTCTAGGCATTACCTGATGAAATTAGTAAATCAAATGGCAATGAAAAAGCAAGATTTAAGCATGTAGAGTTGATTTTCCTTATTCTTCACAAACCATGTTCTCCAAAACAACAATGCACTTCACAAAGTACAAATTCTGTAGCTCATGACAAAGACCTGGAGAAAGGCAGTTGTGAATGGGAATAGCTACAAACAGGTGAGCTCCTCACACGGCCTTTAATGCCCAGATGCATGAAACAGGGAAAGCACTGAACGTCTGCAGAGAGGGGACTGAGGCTTTCAAGGCTCTCACAGCTACCATTATTGCAAGGGTTAATGCAATAGAGAAGAGGATACATACAGGAATTAGATGTTAACCATCAAACAGAGGCTTCTGATGACTTGTCATAAATATATACCTTTGTGGTTATGTAAACAGATAGTATGCATGTATCATAAAAGCAAGGAACAACTAATTTGCAGACATAAAAAATTCTCTCAGAATCTAGCTGCCAGGAGTATCCCAGGACTGCCTTCTAAGAAGCAAGATGAAAACTGAATTCATGTTGCCATTGGACCTTTGCAGAGGATGAGGTTAATGGAAGGGGCGACTGAGTTTCTATCTCCAGGTGACTGGTGGTAGTGAAATGATGATTTTTAGCTTGCACCCATTTCCTGCAGCAAGGCAGTTCAGCTCAATTCTTCCAGCCAAAGCCAGAATTGTGGCTGGAGAAAAACAGACAAACTTTCAGGGCTTCCTTAATAATAATAAACTTGTTGTTGCAGTCTGAAACTAAAATTAAAAAACCCACAATGGCAGTGTTGCCGTTTGTGAGGACTCACCTCAGCAGGCTGCTGGGGCAACAGAGGAGGCAGGAGAGATGCACACCCCTCCAGACACAGGACTGTGAGGAAACCTGCCCCTTGCCAGGGCAGGACTGCCTGAGTGTGACTGTTGCTATGCCAGGACTGGTTTAGATTACACCACTGGGGCAAACAACAAGGGCAAAAACCTGAGGTTAGTTTGGATAAGCACCCAGATTTCAAAACACAATTTGAGCTGTTTGAACAATTTTGACTTGTTCTATCTGCAAAACTCAGGAGGAACCATCATGAGAATGGAGTCTAATGACCTTACTGGTCATTAGCCATTTCTAGCAGATGCTGGAAAACAACAAACACTCTTTTTTCATATGAAAATATTATGAGAAGTTCTGTTGACATTCATTTTTGGAAACTACTAGTGGTTTGGAATTCATAATTTATCCTAAAACTATGATGTATTAAACATTTAATGGAGTTCTTTCAAACTCTAGCTGGGATTTTAAAACACGGTAACTTGACCGTCACCCTAACACACGCTGAGGAATTTACAACAAAGATGTAGAAAAAAAGTTTTAACGACCAATTTCAGAGAATTTCCTGAAAGTGTAGCTGTGTTGGCTATATCCAGTCCCGTACTCTTCTCATTAAATGAAAGGACTGAACTGGAAATTTGACTTTGAACCAATTTATTTTTTCCTGCTAAAACTTGGAGAATTAGTAGTAATATCCATGATGAATATATGTAAAATGTTAGCTTACTGTTAGAGTTAAAGATTGCATAGTTCTATGTCCCTCAGAACAGGTTGTTCCATAATCTTTATATTCTACAATCTCAGCACTAATAAAGCCTGGTGCAAATATTCCTTCTTCGGGCAATTATTAAAACAACTTGTTTGGAATGCATCTGCTGAATTATTGAGCCCTAAATAAATGGACTGAAGCGGTTCCTCCTTTCCTGAAGATTAAATGATGCTCTTGTTGGAAAAGATGATGATATAACAAACTGAATTTGGAACACGAAGCCTGTAATTTTTGCTGATACTTCGTGCTCCTTCTGTTTTTGGTTGTTCCTCCTGCCCTCCATATCCCTGTATTAAGGTATAATAATGAGAAATGTGTTTATGACTTGTTTTGAAGTATGTGCACAAGACACAGCTGACCTGTAGAATTCCTTGAGCTAGATATCTTAAATGCCTCTTTACTAACTACAGCAGAAGAGCTCTTTCAGCAGTCACAGAAATGATTGGAATGTGAATTCCTGTTACCTGAATTGTATCAAGTTGTTAAAATTGTGTATCTCAGTAGATTTTAAAAAAACATAAAATAAGAACAGAGGAAATCTGTAGAGGCAAACAGACCTGGCTTTCCCCTAACTCACAGAGGTTCGGCAACCCATCATATAAACTCAACAATACTTGTCATCTTGCAAAAAAACCTAGCAATCCTCTTTTTCTGTGAAATGAAGCAGTAGAATTATGCCTCGCACGACTTCCAATCCAAAAGGGGAAATTGTGATTTTCCAAGAGGTGAAATCTGGAGAAAATGAATGTGAAAAAATACTGAAATATCTGTACTTTGTCTTTAAGTATTTATCTATACAACTAATAGAATGTGTAGTATCAGGAATAATGTAAATATTATGGAAGTACCTATGAAACTACTTGGAAACCTACATTAGCCTCTCACAGTTAACATACAGTACAACAAAACCTTGCAAAATTGGATCAATGCAAAGCAGCAAGTAAGATACAGGTTCATTTGGAATCTGGGAGCATTCACTTAACATCAAATGACAGGTTTGGCATCAAGAGCTTCTTCTCACCATCCTACACTTAACTGCATTTATACCCTACAGTAAAAACAGGATCCCCCAAAATTCCAGAATCAAAAGGACCTGAAGTTATAATATGCACTATCAGACCAGACAAACACAGAAAGTGTATTTGCTGCCAGTGAGGTCTTCAGTACATCACAATGCTCCTGCACTTTTACTATGTTTTCTACCATACAAAACATAAAAATCCACCTCCTTCTGCTCTATCTAGTGTCAAATATTTGAAAGTTATTGAAAAGTAGCCAATATTCCCTTTCTGTTATCAAGCAGTTATTCAGAAATAAGAGCACCTTGCTTTATGCTGGTATGTGTGTTTTTGAGAAACCTGTAGTAGTGCTGAGCTATAGTCACTTTAATTTAAAACTTAATGCATATTTTACTTTTCCAGTCAGAAAAGTATGATTCTCACTTCTTTCATCAGCAACCACAATTTTGATGCAACAGAATACAGAAACTATGTCTTAGCCAATTTGTTTTTCTAAGACACAGCTGTACAGCAGGTAAGTACCTTGATAACAGTTTTGGTGGGCATTGGTTCAGTAATGCTATTTCCACAATTCATTAAAAAAAAAGAAGAGAGAAAGAAATAAAGGAAATTGTTCAAGTCAGTGTGGTTTGATTTGAATATTCTGTTGGTCCCATACTGAGCAGGCAGTGCAGATAGCTTAACAACTTGGAGAGTGTGACGACAGAAAGCCTCTGAGACTCCAGGCCACCTTGCAAGAAAATGTTACCCAGTGTAAATATGTTTCTTCGTGATTTAGGTTACTTACTTTTAAGGCATCTTGTTTAAATGTTTTTCTCAGAATTTTATCTAGCATGAAACAAACCAACAAACAAGTTTATCAACCTCCCAGAGATTTTTGCAATAGAAAGTTGGTTTTGGAGCATCTTCAGCATGAAGTGAAAAGACGGCTTGCCATCAAAAGCAGTGGGCAGCTTGAAGAAAGACAGGACTTCTGTTTAGACACTCCCCAACATAGGTATATAATGAGGAAAACAAACAATGGACGAGTCTGGTACTACATTCCAGTATTGGTTTGGTTTCCGTATCGTTTGTTTTTTTTTCCCAATGTGTGAAAGAACCTAACAAAATCTTCTGAGTGCAATTATATTTACAGAGTAAGGCCGTGGTTAGGGTGTGTCTTCATTGTAATTATTGTGTAACATAAATATCCATCCCTGAGAAAGGAGAAGGGGGACACAAATCCAACACAGTTCATTTGTATGTACGCTCATGTTGTGCAATCCCGTCTTATAAACTACTTTGACACCTGAGGTGAATTGTGGGGCTTTTTGCCTTTTTTTTTTATTTTTTCTCATTTTCTTATAAAGAATGAAGAGGATCCATAAATGGTTGCAAAATATATGACATATTGAGACAGCAGGAGTCACTAAGTGTAACATGTAAGTTTGTCTGTCCATGAGGTTAGAATAGCCACTCGTGTGGTCGGGTAAAGCAAATTTGACTAGAAATTGCAGTGGGAGGAAGCTATTTACTGATTTTTTTAAGAAGGGGGCGTAGGGGAGGGAAACAACAGTTTTCCAAAGGTGTGCAACACAAGCCGAAGTCCCCTGGGCGTCGGAGGCGCGGTGCCGTGGGCAGCGGGGCGGGCTACGGGGAGCTGGCGGGGCTCAGCGTGGGGCTGGAGGCGTCCGAGCGGCTGTGGTCACTGAGGGAGCCGGCCCTGGAGCCGCTGCCCGCCCGGCCCCGCAGCATTCCCGGCTGGAAGTTGGCGTGGCGCCGCGCGTGCTTCGTCAGGTGGTCGCTGCGCATGAAGCGCTTCTCGCACAGGGGGCAGCGGAACCGCTTCTCGCCCGTGTGGGTGCGGTGGTGCCGCGCCAGCTCGTCCGAGCGGGCGAACTTCTTCGTGCAGCCCGGCCAGCTGCACTCGAAGGGCCGCTCACCTGCGGGAGGCACACACGGCACGGTTAGAGCACAGCACGGACTCCGCCGGGCTTTGTACGCGCGGGGTAGAACAGAAAGGCTGGGAGCGAGGCAGAGCCACTACCTGGATGGGGAACGTGGTACCCTCTGCTGCTCCATCAAAAAGTACTGCCAGTCCAGCTAGTGATATACCTTATTTGATAACTGCATCTTCAGGGACGCTGGGCTCCTGATCCTTTCATGGATATCACATTTCAAATCTCTTGTGCTCTGTTGGACTTAACTTCATTACTTGATAATACCTGTACTGAGCTTTATAGTATATTCACTTTTTCCTCCAAGCTGTCCCTATGTGTCTGACTCAATGCTGAAGTTCAGAAGGTGTGAAGTCTCCCTCTTCAGCTATTTACAAGCAATTTTGGTAAAAATGAAGATTGGCAATGTTGAGGCACTGATTTGAGGCTCCCACCTTGTATTCTCCACAGCCACGCCTGTGTTTTCTGCATCTGCTACAAAGCACTGTGGTTTCTCCTGTTCCCTGCCTTATGCCTCCAGAAGGGAGGCAGGGAGCACTGTATTCCAACCAGGTAAATGTGTCACATTGAAGGGATCAGCTTCTGTCAACAGCTCACGTGAACCCCCTGACCTGTGACACTGTCAGACCCATGACCAGTGAGCCCAAAGGAGCAGTGACCTGGTGACCTGATGCAGTGACCTGGTTGTGAGCGCCCTCAGCCATGGAATCACCTCTCACAGGACAGATGCTGTGCAGGAGCTCTGCACGTGGGCACTGTGGGAGATGTGCAGCCTGAGAAGCTCTGCACATTGTTGTTGTGCAGATGGATATCTGGAATGTATTCCCAGCTTCACCACTGATGTGTTGCATAGCCTTGGGCACCTCACATTATCTGTTTCCATTCTTAGCTTCTCCGTTTGATAAAAATGAAAACATTGAATCATGAAATGTGCTACTACTTCTGCATATTGCTTTGGTTCTTATTGTCACTGAGTCTGAACATCTCATATTCCTTATTTGTTACTCATCAAGAACATGTTATTCTTTTGTGAATACACAGAGAATTTTTCATAGTTATAATTTTAATAACTTCCTACTTGCACTAATCCTAATGTTTCTAATTCTGAATAGCCAGTTCAAGAGGCCTAGAGAGCTATATAAATTCTGTGGCAAAATAAGAAAGAAAAGTTCTCCCCACACTACACTAAATGGAAAATAAAGAAAGAAATTAACCTTCTGGAGAAATTCAATGCACCTTAATCAAAACAGAGAGCAAAACTGACCCCAGCAAACCTTCAATCTAAGCAGCCAATACTCTGCTTTAAATTCACACATTTGGCTGTAACATTTATCTCCAGGATCTACTTAGGAGGCTCCTGCTCAGAAAAATAGTTTTATAAGTTCCTCTCCTCTCTGTTCATGATGCCTGCAAGATACTTCAGCCAAATCTCAAAGAGTGTCTCAATGAACAGATAGGCAAGTCTTTTTTTAAATAGGATTTTGTTCAAGAATCTGGAGAAAGCAAGTGTTCCTGATGTTTCATTGATTATTTAGGAGAAAGATCAAGTCTCATTAGACCAGCTGTTCTTAAGCACCTTTGGTGGATTTCATTCCCCCTCCAACTACACTGCATAATGCAATGGTGTATCTGTGCAGGACCCAACGAGATCTGCAGAAGGAGAACCACGAGCACCACCTCTAGTGCTCTGCAAAAGGCAGCAAAGACAAACAGAACTGCTTTCAGCCTAAGAAACGTAGGGCTCCACAAATGATTTTAAGAATACAACCACAACCAGCTGGTTTTGAAGGATATAGTCTTGTTGCTTAAAATAACCTGTGCAAACCCATTCAGTGTCCTCCTTAGCCTTCTCCTGCCTGCCTTCCCTGCTGTTAGGGGAGTGACCTCCCCCTCTGCTGATAGAAATGGGAAACATATATTTTGGCTGTTTTTCATATATCTTTTCTTAGATATGCTCCTGCCTGTGGTGGGACATGCCAAGTCATCCCTGTTGTGAAACCAGATTCACCAGTCTTCTCCCTGTGTTTTGGTCATACAACAGAGAAAATTCTATGAGGACTTTGGAACCTCTGGGAAGGGCAGTGAGACATGGTCTGAGAGGTGGAGGTGGATCTGGCCTGCAAAACTGGAGTTTCTCATCCCTCAGCTATGCCATCATTTTTTGGTAAGGCACTGGCTTTTGGATGTTTCTATTGCCTGAGTCCATTTTCTCTGTGTTTATTGGTGTTACAAATGGTGTCAGCAAATGTTCTTCCCTTGAAGAACTGTCCCATGAAATGACTGCTTGCAGACAAGAAAGGCAAAAGTTTTCATGCAGTGTTTTGCTTCTGCTGTTGAGAACACCATGAAGCACAAACAAAATGGTACCTTTTTTTTTCAGTAGTTTGCATGGCATCAGCTGCTCTTGTCTATGATTCTATCATTGGGGAGCCAGCAGTAGGGACAACATTCCAGTTCCTCACAAGAGAGAGGTTCTGAAGCAGGATTGTGTAAGACCTGTGTTATCCAGCACTAACAGACAGGTAATGAAGGTATTGCACAACTTATCTCCCCTCTCTCCACTGCACATCAGATCTGAATGAGAACATTCAGGTTCCTACTCACCCTCTGATTTGATATTAATGATGGTGGTGAGGATTTGGGCGCTGAGCCAAAAAATGTTGTCTGTCTTCCACTACATTTCTACTGTCCTCTGTCCTCCCCCTTCCTAGGGACTATTTTTCCCCTCAGTCTTCTCTAGTCTTGATCTGACATCTTCTTAGTAGTTGTCTTTAAGTTTCTTGGTCAAGTGGTTTTCTACTAACAGCTGGCATCACTCTAGTAGTGGTGATAGCTCTCTAGAGTGTTTCCCAGCTTTGTTGAGGTTTAGCAATTCCTCTTCAAAGAAAAACTGTATTGTGAGGAAATGCTGGATGCCTTGTGTCAAGATATGAGAGTCATTATTGTTCAGAAAAAATTAATACACAGTCTGGAACAAAGTTGCTGTGGGGTATTAATTAAGACAAGACCAAGTTGCTGCTCCAAAACCACACATGGAAATTCACAGCCTGTCATCGTTCTCATCTCTCAAACAGAAGGGATGTGGTTTTCTGTGTAGGTAAGTTATATAAATGTCCTTTTACCAGCAGTAAAGCAATCAACAGAATGAGAGATTATATGACTTGATTGCCTAATCTCATTAAGGAACAGGCAGCCACAGTACAACGTTCTTGCATAAGCAGCAGCCCATGGACATGTTGTGCTCAACAAAGAGCTCTCACCATTAAAATGGCTGCACAGAACACAATAAGGATTCATTCAGCTCCACTTAGGCAATGCCCAAGTCAGAGTTTTACCTTTGTACCCCGAGTGAAGAATGTGATCTTACAGATTAATGCAGAAATGTTATCAAATATCTTAGATGCGGCAGGAAACAATCACGTGAATGTGAATGTTGAGAGTGTTAATGCTGTGCCTTGGCAGCAGCAGTATCTTTGTGCATTATGAGCCTTACTAGCAAGTCTCAAAGAGTGGTAAGTCTCCAAAAGGTAAAGATGCTTGAAAAAAAATGAACCAAAAAGCAACTCAGGCTTCTTTACTCTTTGGAGAGGCAAGTGAGAGATGCCTTTAAGGCATTGGAATATTGTAAGGAAGGAATATTGTAAATTATTCTTTCACAATTTTAAATAGGTTTGGATTTCCATGTTCCAAATCCTACTAAACAGTAACCTTTCTAGCTCCTCTGCCAGAGCACGTGACACCACATAACTTGTGTTTAGAGCTACACAAGCTGATGGGAAGACATCACATTTGAGAATTGAATTCAGCTGATCTTAACTGAAAATTACACAAACAAGAACATTTTTGGCTTTTTCCTGAACTCCACCCAGTCCAAAAAAAAGAAGTGTGTAAAACTGCATTAAGAAACTTGCAGTGCTCAGTGAGTGAAAGTACGTGAGCTGTGCAGGTGCACTGAGTTCTGAATTCATTCCAGAGGCACAGATCTGGCTGCTCGTGCTGCTCATATTGTCTGGCAGAGCTGACTGCCAAGGGAAACATGGAATTGCCTGGGCTATAGAAACAGAATTAAAAAAAAGCACTTCTCTCCTCTCTTGCTGGAAGGGATTCAGAAGTATCTAGAGCCAGCCTGGCCTTTATAAAGGCCCTTTGTATTATTCTATATTTGTCAATCATTATATATATTGAGGCAACTGTATGTAGATATGGAAACAAAAACTACAGAGACTGTGGAACCAGATCTGATGTCTACTGAACTTGATTGGTACTGTACTTTTAGTGCACATGTAGTTTTAAGGACTCCTTTCCTATGTAGTGACACTGCTGTACAGACCTGGAGTTATCTCCTTCCTCCTTCACCAGTTCATCTCTATGATATCCAGCATTTGAGTGTCATTTAAAAACAGATACCAAGTACTGTGTAGGCCTGAGCATACTTTAAAAATAACCTGCTACTGACTGAAATGCCCAAGCAGTTTAAGACAACTGTGACACCAACCATTTTCTGAACTACAGTGCAAGGATTAGGCAATTGTGTCTGAACAGTCTGAAGTGTGATATCTGCTGCCCTACAGATCAGTGTACTAGCGAGTCAAACCACGTACTGCGGGCTGTTTTTTCAATTTAACTCATGTAATAGCCCTGCACATTATGTTAAGCTCTTCCAGCATATGCCAAGGACATGCAATAACAAAGAAATTTGTATACTGGGAATTCCACAAGTGCCTGCAAAACCAGAAACAGTAAGCCAGAAACAATTTTCTGTGATCTTTAATCTGTTCTGCTGCTTCACAGAACAGCATTGTATGTTGTTATAAAAACAGACTAGAAACCTGAACATGCCACTGTGTGCTATTCTTATATTTCTACATTTTCATATATGTAATTAAGAGTATATTTGGAAACATGGATCAGCAGGCTGGGTGGGGAGGATGAGGGTCAGACAGTTAAACAGAGATGTGACAGAAGCAGCCTTCCTCCAGGAGAGG